TATTTGTGTATGTGAATGTCTGCAAATAAGCACATTTACATCTGTTTATACATAGACATTACATTAGGGATTAGCTTTCTTACATCAAACTTACATTGGCAGATCAAAAGAACTCCCACAGCATTCTGAAACTGGTAAGCCAAGGAATCCATGTCAGTATAAACCAATTTAGAAATTCCCCTAGCTGTCTGATAAGGATTTACCCTGTGCCTTCCCAGTCTTTATCCACTTCCTCTCTCTGATCCCTCTGATCTGACTTTCCCCCAAATGCCCCTTTGCTGAGTTCATCACTTGTAATGTAAACCATTGCTTCACACCCCTTTAAGACTTCCCCAGGCAGAAGTGTGCAATGCCCAGCTAACTGCAGCACACCCACCTGAGCTTAAACACAGATTAATCTGCATTAATACAGATAACAGCTGCATTACAAACACCTTATGAGGTGTTCACCCCCGAGAACCACAACTTCACCCTGCAGGTTCTTGTAGCTACACTTGGGTATAAACCCACCCAGGGACACAACCTGCAGCTTTGAGAACTGCCACGGCGTGAGAAACACATAGCACACAAAGGGAGCTCCTGCCAGAGCATTCTGTGAAGGATTACGGCATTTCTCAAAGTAAAATAAAAGTTCCCAATTACGGCTTGAGCTGTGACCGATTTCTACTCCCAGACAGATGTGCTCCCAGTGGAGTCATTGTTCTCCTTCCCAATAACGCTGCAGTCCCCTCCTGTCCCGCTCCCCGGGCCGTGTTTGGTGAGCACACGCCCAGCAGATACACGTCAAGCACCACCTCACAACACCACCTCCCGTCACTCTGCACAGACTCCTCATCCCGATCTCCCGGGTTTGCATTCCCCGGAGCTCGAATGCCGCGTTCCCGAGGGAGCACCTGCCGTGTGCGGGCCTGCCCAGCTCAGCACTTGTATCCCAGCACTGAGAAGTTTTGCGGGAAAGAAGCCTGCGAGGATGTCTGCAGAACTGGTTATTGGGAAGAGGTTCTTCCCCCAGAGAGTGGTCGAGCACTGAACAGGCTCCCCCAGAGAAGTGGTCACAGCACCAAGCCAGACACAGCTCGAGAAGCGCTTGGACAACGCTCTCAGGCACACGGTGTGACTCCCGGGGTGTCCTGTGCAGGGTTAAGGGTTGGACTCGGTGCTCCCCCTGGGTCCCCTTCAACTCGGCATGTTCTGTGGTTCTAAGGAATGTTCCCTGCGGTGTATCCTGCAGGACCCGACACACCCCGCCTCACCCGCACACCCACGAGCCGCCCTGAGGGGCCCGGGCACGGCCCCTCGCGGCCCGGGCGCGCCCCGCCCTGCGCGGGCCCTCAGCGCCGGCCGCGGGACGGGCCGCGCTCAGCCCGGCGGCATCTCCGCCCCGCCCCGCCCGCTCCCCCCCCGCCCGGCCCTGCCCGCACCCTCCGGCCCCCCCGGCCCAGCGCTGCGGGCGGGCGGTCCCGGCGGTCCCGGCATTCCCGCTCACCGCAGCCCCGGCACATCCCGCGGAGCCGCCGCCGCCCCACGGGCACCGCAGCGCCGCGCTCCGCGCACGCGCGGGGGGGCCGGCGGCGCGCGCGGGTGACGCCATCGCGCGGCTCGCACCGCCCCCGGGACACGGCGGGAGCGGGAGCGGGGCTGCGAGTGGGGAGAAGGTCCTGCGGGAGCGTCCGCAAAGTCACAGAGCCCGTTGGGGTGGAAAAGACCTCTGAGATCATGGAGTCCAGCCTTTGACCGGTCGCCACCATGACAGCCAGACCATGGCAGCGCGTGCCACGTCCAGTCTTTCCTCAAACACCTCCAGGGATGGTGACTCCACCGGCTCCCTGGGCAGCCCGTTCCAATGTCTAATCACCCTTTCTGTGAAGAAATTCCTCCTGATGTCCAGCCTAAACGTGCCCTGGCCCAGTTTAGGACTGTGTCCTCTTGTGCTGTCGCTGGTTCTCCGGGAGCAGAGCCCGACTCCCACCTGGCTACAGCCTCCTGTCGGGGTTGTAGAGAGCAATGAGGTCCCCCCTGAGCCTCCTCGCTGCTACCCGGCCTGTCAGGCAGCAAAAGTGCTCTGTAGAGTTGTTCGTTTTGGGGGTTTTTTGTTTGTTTGTTTGGGGTTTTGTTTGTTTTGTTTTGTTTTTGTTTTTGTTTTTTTAAAGAAACATCCTTTAATATCTTGACTGACCAAAACAGGATCACTTTTCTGCACCCTCATCAGACGCCTTCTCAGTGCTGCCCTGCTCAGGGTTCCCAGCGCCCCAGGGGACGTAGGACCACCTGTACTATTCACTGTTTCCTATGATCTCTAATAAATGGCGATTTAAATGATGCTTAATGGAGCGTGAGCTCCTGCCTCGGTGGGATCATCCCAGGCCAGCGGCTGCTGGTGCAAATCCTGGTCTGCAGGGAGGATGTGGGTGGTGGATGTGTGTGGCAAAGGTCAATGCTCACTGACCTTTTCACAAAAAAACCCAACACCCATAAAGGACAACAAGCCACCGAGGAACAGACATCCTAGAACATCCTCTGGGTCATCCACATCCTGGTGTTGCAATGTTTAATTATCGATTTATTTATTTAATTTTTTTAACTTAATTTAAAGAGGAGAAAAGGAGTAGTACTTCCCCTTCCTGCCCACTTCTGTTCACACATAGACACACGTACTTCCCATGATAAAGACACCCCTGTATTCCAGACAGGGATTGGGCTGGACTGGGAACCTTGCTGTATTTCCTGCAGGCCAAGCACCCCTTTCACCTAAGGTCAGCAAACATCTGTAGCCTCAGTGTGGGAATCTGAACAGTGTTACTGTCAAGTGACAGGACAAACTGTGCTCTCCTGCTCGGTGGGATGAGGTACTTGAACATAATGCTGAGGTACTTGAACATAATACAATTTCTGACACATCAAGGAACTTCAGAGCTGTTGAGAAGGTCTTGTAAAAAAAAAAAAAGCACAACATTTAGGAAAAGTCAGTAACATAATGAAGAATTTCTCTTAAGTTTCTGCTGCCTCCAGTTGTCTTGATACTTAAATAAATGTTTCCTGTCTGCATTGTAGTAGTACATCCCTTGCAATGCCAATAAAAAATGAGCAAGAATGTTTTGTACTTTCCCATTTGAATGTGACTGAGCAGAACTCACTACATACAGACAATATCAAATACAGTAATTGTTGTTTAGTACTTAGAGCTACCTTTATTCCATACAGAGCAGTGTAACAGGTCCTATATTCGCTGTAGTTTGGCATAAATTGTGTAATGGAAAGGAAGGGCAGATCAGGCCATGTGCATTGGTCAGCTGTCAGTGGGAAGATGAGGATGAAAGCTGAGTTTCTAAAGTATATGATAAAACAAGACACAGGTTAAGGCAATATCTTCTTACAACAGCTAGTATAGATTTTTTTAGCAAGCAAATGCTTCAGCGTGAAAAAAGCACCCTTATTTAGCTCTAAAACAGAAGCAACAAACTTCCAGTCAGAGTGAAACTACAGAACAATTCTCCAAATTTCTTTACATGTGAATGAGATAATCTGAGAGAAAAGGAACCTGGTATCTGTGGAACAGAGGTAATGTTAGCAGGAGAGTGAGAGGTAGATTATTATCCCTTGGTGGTAGGGGAAGAGAATAGAGAAACAGGTAATTTCTAATCTCTAAAACATGGAAAAGAGAGGCAGAAAGGAGATTATAATATGTCACAAAGAAAATCAAATGCTACCTGGAATCCACTAGCTTTGCCTTTGTCCTTAGCCCCATTTACTGCTCTGGCACCATCATGACAAGTGTTGGTTGTGGCCCCTCCTGATGGCCTTAGTTGTGCTGCCTGCTCTCTCACACAGTGCTTTCATTCAGGTTGCCAGGAGAGACACAAGGCATTACTGTGGTATTTTGCAAGGAGAACAGTTACTTATCTGAGTGGGAAGGCTGTGTTTTTAGTGCTGTCCTCTGCTGCACATTTAGCTGCTCAAGTTCTGCCGATGGGCATCTGAAATGAGTGGTTTTTAGAGCAGTACTGAATCACAGTCTTTCTGCAGTAGTAAGGCTTTAGTGGCAGTGGTGGACTGTGCGTCACCACAGTCCAGAGTCCTGGAGCCATAAAATATTGCTGAGTAATCAAAAAAAAAAAAAAAAAAGAAGAAGAAGAAAACAAAAAGCAACACAGGGACTCTCTAGTGCAGCAATAAACTGTAACTCACTATCTAGCGGAATATATAACCGCTGGGCAATTTTTAAACTTACATGAATGAAAAATGTCAAAGTTCATAACCCAGTATCCTACACTGTTGAAAACACAATGTAGTGAGCAGTTCTATTGCTATTTTATTTAAGACTATGTTTTTCAAGCTTCTTGATGTAAAAAGAAACTTTCTTCGCCATAATAATCTCGTTGACATATAAAAATAAATCATCCAAATTGTTTGTTCAGGAAAATATTTGATAAATTGCTTGTGTTGTTCTTTTATAACTAATTAATTCTGTAACATTAAGGTTATATGAGTCCTTTTTACTGTGAGACAGTTTTCATGATAATAAATTGTCCAGACAAACATACCAACCATACTTTATTTTTTACGAAGCACTGTAAACATCCCATACCACCTGAGACCTTTATTATGAAACCCACACTTAAATATACACAAAATATCTGAAATATAAGTGTTGAGATACAGATCAAGGCATTTTTCCCCACCCCTGTCAATATATCTCATGCAGAAGATGATACTGGTTTTAATAAATAAAATTATGATAGGATGAAGGTGTCTAAGAAAGTTATTCTTTGCTGTATATATAGATATCAGCATCTCTGTACCCTTTCTTGGGTATTTGAATGACAGTGGGTTAGTCCTTTGGTTTTTCACACACTTGTAAACAGAACTATTTCTTCTGTTTGTAAACAGACTTTTTTTAAAACAGTGTGCAACTACTGGATGGAAATAAGCTGATCTACATGAGGAATAACTAGAGTATCATCATTTTATATTAGACGTTAAGTTAGCAGACATCCTCCAGCTGGTTATAAAAACCTTTTAATGATATATTGATCTGAATTCAATGCAAATAGTTAACACAGTGCATGTCATTAATAGCATATTCCTAATTACTTCTTTATTATAGATGAAAAATGAGCTGTAATATGGATTTTTTATTTATTTCAAGTAAATAAGATACCATGTTCTCCTGCAAGAATATTTGTAGACAAAGATGTAATTATTAAAAAACAAGGTTTCACATGTTAAGATAGAGAAAATACTCATGAGTATTCACAATTAGCCAAGTTTAAAAGCATTGCAAAGTTCTGTGTGCTTAATTTTATATTTCCATCAAGAATTGTACATTCTTCGCTTTAAACTTCTGCTTCTAGACATTTTACTGTGGCCTCAGGCTTAGTTTTAGACTCTTCTACCTTATTTCCATTAGTCTGTGCTTCCTTCTCAGGTGTTTTGTCATTTAACTTTGCCTCTTTGAGAGCAACAGTTCCAACCATTTCTTTTTCCTGAGTCTTGTTTAAAAATGGGAAGGTTTTCTTGTACCTTTAAATGGAAAAGAAAAGGATAGTAAAGCAGAAACATTGACATAGTTTGGTAGTATCACTCAGGAAATACAGTGAAAAATAGCTAGAATAGCTACTTACTCTGCCATGCTCATGCAAAAATCTCACAGAGAATGATGGCATGCTAGATCTTTGTGGTTTTTTAAGCACAAAGCTTTCTAAAGAAATATTTTGGTATTTTTTTTTAAAACAGACAATATATATTCAGGATTTGTGGTACACAACAATAAAGCTATCTGGGCTAAGATGTGAGAGATGCACAACTTTTTGATAGAATTTAGTGATGCACTGTGTTGAAGATCTTTACACATGACAAATGAGCTCAACTATTTTTTTTTCTGAGCACAATCACAGTGCAATTATAAAATCTTTCACCTCGAGTCTGACATATTAGAAAAAGAGGGATAAAACTGCCTAAACAGGCTTGTAAATGAACAGATGCACAATTCAGTGTTGTTATTTTGACACACTTGGAAATGTTTCACACTAGACGTGATTGACCAATCAAAAATAGGCAATATTTGTCTTTGGTTCCTTTTCTAAAGCAGAGAATGGCAACAGCAACAACAAACTTATCTGTATAGCAACTGGGTTTAAGGTTTTTTTTCTCTGTGCTTCACTGTTTTGTCATCATCATTACTTCTCTGCTCTTTAGCTATATATTTTAAATATTCACTGGTTGTACTCTGGGGGTTAACTCAGTCTAAGATAGAAAAAAAAAAACCAACTTACTTTTTGATATAACAGACTGCTAGAACAACTGAAATAATGAAGAAGATGATTGCCAGGACAAGAAGTGCAGTGGGGATACCTGGAGATAAAAGTGATATAATCATAGAAGTTTATTTGTACTTAATGCTGAATTTCTAAAGGCTCGTGAGCATAAATCCAGATTCTTCTAAAACCAGCCTAATGGAAGAGAACATACGCATCAACTCAAGAATAGAGGTATTAGGAATCTCAAAAGATTAGTTACTCCTGCTCATTTTTTCAAGAGAGACTAAAACAGGTATTTAGGCAATCCCTGACAGATATTTGTCTAATCTGCTCATTGGAGAGTTTTTACAACCTGCCTAAGAGAACACATTGTTGGGATTAACTATCCTTACAGTTGGAATTCTTTTCCTCGTATTTAGTCCATTTCTCCATTGCTATGTGTTAGGGTTACTTACTCACATCTCACATGTTGAGAACACCTCCATATTTAGATAACAACAATTCTCCTTAAAACTTCTTTGTTTTTAAGAGCTTGATGAGTTTTCCACTACTCTGAGCACATAGTGTTTGCCAAGGCTTTTTTAGGGATGTATTTACCCCAAATCACATTAACCAGAAGGAACTTCCACCGTTTCATATCAAAATATTATCAAAGAGTGTAAAACCAGACCTTACTTCTACTTAAAAAGTATTTTAAAATCCTCTGCCTTATAAGCTTTGCTTCTGCAAAACCGTAACACTCCTCTTCTGCTTCCAGGTTCATCAAAATGGATGCTGGAGTAGCAACCAAAAATAGCAGCAAACAGATTGACTACTGACTTCTACATAAGTCACTCTCCTGATGAAATAACTGCCCCACAAGGCCTTTACCTCCGAAGATGACAGAGTCGTTCTTAAAGGCAGACCGGGCAGTGTGGCTGGGAGAGGCAGTCGCAGAGGATTCCTCTGGCAGTGCTGTGGTGGGCCCCTCTGTGGGTAACGTTTCAGTTACACAGATGACACGAAACCTTCTGTTCTTCAGGAATTGCCCTGGCTCAGTCACAGTGGGCACTGCTGTGATGTTCTCAGTGAAATCAGAGGCTGAATGTGCAGTCGAGTCCGTTGATGCACTCGATGAAGGAAATGTTGTTGTGGTTGGGTCTGGTTTACATGAATTAATCTGGACATCTGCAGCAGGGAAAGGAAATGCATGAACAGTTGTGTCGGATGCTAGTTTTGTACTTACTGCGCACACGTTTATTGAAATTGTCCCTCAGTCATTCCTTTCTGGAAATTATTGTTTGTTCACAAAAGCCTTACCCAAATCAGCCATGGCCATTTCAAACATGTGGTTACAATGCAGATTACACAGCTTTTATCATTACTCACATAATTAAACACTCTTTTGAGCAAGTGTCGCACTCATTTTTTTTTGCAAATCAATGGCAAGATTCCCCATGGAAAGTATGTAGAATAATATTGCATATAAAAACCAACAGTATAACCTTCTGCAGAGCAGGAGACTTAACTACTGCAGATTCAATGTTCAGAAATATTTCCATGATATTATGTACATGTTCAAAACATATGCATGCACTGTTGATACTTGGAAAACTGATTTGATATCCTGGAAACAAAAGTAGCCCATAAAACTTTCAGATACATCAGGCACTAGTGTGAAATAATAAAGAGACATGATTTTAATGGGGGGGGGGGGCAAGGAAGAGACAAACTTCAGGTTTGAAAAAAAAAAGTAATTTTCAGAAATTAAGTCGTTTAAATGAAGTGAATGTTGTCTATATAAAAATGTAGATGCAAGGGAAATCTTTTATGCAAGTGGAAAAGCTGAGTTCCGAATCAGGCTCATGTTAAAACGTGGAAATTCTTCTTTGCTAGTGAAGTTCTGTATTCTGTAAAGCTATAAAAATTTCACTAAGGTAACAACCAAATTACAACATAAATAAGAGGGAAATGACGTATGCACTGTTGTCCCCATGAATCCCCACGGGAAGTCTGATGACGCAGTTACACTCACAGAATAAAAAGCTAAATGGCAGGGGCTTTATACTTTTTCCATGGTGGTTTTCAAGCGCCTTTGGCACCTTTTTTGGCATAAGAAAATTGACAGGATGAGCTTCTGACAAATATTTTGGGTAAGAAATGCCTAGAACAGGCAACAGTTTGGAAGTAAAGATAAAGAAATGCAGAATCATCCCAATGTTAAATATACATTAAATTGTACTCTAACCATTTGAGAAGCTTAACTTTCTTCATGTACTCCAACAGTATAATATATATATATATTATTATTATTATTTTAAAATTAAAGCTAAACAAAGCAATAATTTGAAACCACTTGCTACCTCTTTAACATTACTCAATTTACCCAATATTTCTGGTGCAGAATAACATACATTTCATGCACTGAAACACCATGTTGCATAGGAACAGAAGAAATAACAATACCAATAGGAGCAGCTTCTTTTAGAGCATGTTGCCATGTTGCCATGGCACTAATATATCAATGCATTCATCAATAAAAGCTCTGAACTGCAGAGAAAAACTCAGTTAGCCTAATCATGTAATTTCTAACTTTATATGTTAGGTGATAATTCAATGTTTAATAGTGCATTTCCCGTGCAGCGCTTCCTTATCAGTAAGGTAAGGAATTAACTTTTCAGCATCCTTTTCACACATAGGATGATGCACATTAAAGAAAGCTGTTGGATAATAGATTGGGAATCTAGTTGGGTTTATGATCTCTTGGCTGTTCTGCCTTATAATTTAATTTAGTTTAATTTTCCTTTATCAAAAGACATTCAAGCTTTCCTGAAGTACCCCACTCTTGGCCTTTTTGAAAGAACAAACAGACCACACACAGACACCCTGGTTAAAGATTTGATTCACTGTCTCTCAAATGAACCTGCCTAAATAACCAAAACATATTAAGAGCATTGCATCAACATTACAGAATGGTAAAAGCAACTCTTCTTCAAGAGCTTTCATGGCAGCACCAAATTATTAATTTGGATTAACTGAATTGACCCTTTGTATTTCTTGGAAGCTTCTGAGGCAAATATAGCTTGATAACATTTAAGTTTGGGGGAAAGGGTCAACAAATTATAAGAACTCTCGTTATTATTTTTTCATGCAGACATTAAAAAAACCAAAACACAAGAAATGTAGTTGTCATGTTGACATACCTGAGGAATTGAAGCAGTAAACGTGAAATGTTTGAAGGAGGTCAGCATTCCATCGCACTAGTCCAGTTTTGCCCTTACCACATTTGTTGTTGGGTGTTGTCCGAGGAATAACAACAAATCCATCTTTCACCCATCCAAAGCTACAATAAAAAGCATCAGTCCTTTTAGTATTAGATTTATCACCAGCCTTGTAGATGTGTTAAGGCAATGAGCCACTAACTAATATACCTGCATGTTTGAAACTCATGTTTCAAAGCATTTTCAACTTGGTCTTTACTTGCCAATTGTAGATTCAGTTGATTACATGCATTACTTGCTTCTGAGAAATTCACTTTCTTCTCGAGATAGAGTCCTACACCTGTGATCCTGCAAAGTGAATGAGTGGAACCTGCAATTAAGCCATAAAATATTAAAGGTTAGTATTTGAATATTAATGTTACACCTCCCCTGCTTTCTTAGCCTCTGTTAAGGGCATAGGATAGAATTCAGGAAGTGGCACAAACAAGGAGAAAGGATATTACTGTTTTGCCTCCATGTCTCACTGGAAGCATATACTGGGGAAAAAAAGATTTTTTCTTTTTGAGTTACATACAGTAATTGCCCTGATAAATGAAACATTTCAGCATTTTATTGCCAGCACGTCAGATAACCAACAGCCCCAGGTGTTACTTCCTTGCTCAATATGCTTGGCAGACTATCCTCACCAAGTATGTACAATAATGAATACTTCATAAAATCTGTGTTTCAGAACACAGGCAACCCACAAACTCTCCAAAGCAGGCTGAAGTGATGCCTGCAAATCCACCACGACTTCTTAGCAATACAAGTTAAATTGAATTTTATGAATGAAAAGATAGAACTAGCAGCCAAGCCACCCTCGTGATGAGAAGGTGACTAAGCTTGTGTGGAGTGCTAAAAGAAAGACAGGCTCTTAGCTCCTGCTCCCACTGGATGTGGTGGGTTTGGAAATGGCTTCTGGAAAAAAAGATGCATCTCTGCTGTCCTTACATTTTGTTTAATTGGACTTCAGTGTTTAGTGGAGCAATCATTGAGTCGGGTGGATTTATCTCAGCAGAGGTGGAAAGCCACTGAACACTTGAACAGTCCCCACAGCCAAATTGTGGCCACATCCAGCCCTGGCCTGAACATGAGACAAGCCCAAACATATGGCACAGGGATGCAGAGAAGCCCTGTTGCTCAAGGAAGGGGTGTGTGTAGGTATCAAAGACTTCAAGTCTATCCAAGTAGTCCCAGTGTGAGGGATGATTCACACTGGTAAATTCCCTCCTTCCTTTTAGCCAGCCTGTCCTCATGAATGTCCTTGTGTAGGTCCTGTTTTGGCCAAAGTGCTTCTGTGTCAGAGAAGACAAACACTGGAGCACGACAGATGCGGGGGAGGATCCAAGCCTGGCAGTGTTTGAGAGGCCCTTAACAAGGTGCTTTGTCTTGGTCAGCCCCAATTTGGTCAGGCAGTTGGACTGGATGTTCATTGCAGGTCCCTTCCAACTGAAATAATTCTGCTCTATTCTATTCTGTGCTATTCCCTGTGTTCAAGGTTTAAGTTTTCTTGATTCCTTTTTGTTAAAAGCAAGTCTCTTGAGAACCATTTCTGGTTCCCTGAATAAGTCCCTATCTCGGCTGCTGAGGCCCATCCACAGTTCCTCTTTCTCAGTTTTTAATACCCTGCTCCTCCTCCTCTTATGCCTAGTTCCTTTCTTTCTTTACTTCTTTATGCTCTGACTTTACTCTTACTCTTATTGCTCACTTAGTCAATTATTTTTCTATTTTTAGATTTGAGCAACACAACTTTTAAAAAAGGTGATGTTGAGAATGAAAGTTTCTCAATGATCAACTTTACAAATTTCAAATAAAGCTGAGCAGCTGACAGAAAGGAATTTAATGAAATCTTGGAAAATTATGTAGGTACTTGTAAACTGCTACAGTCTTTAGTCATTCAATTACAGGACAAATATTTTACACATGAATTGTATGATGGATACAAAGCATAATATATAAATTCAGTACTAGAAAAAGAACTTGTAAGTGATAATAAAGGTGACTCTAGGATATGTGCTGAAGTTGTATGTTAAAATTTGCTAAGTTTTTTAAAACAAAATGGTGAAGTAAAAGATATGTTTCATAAAAGTTATCAGATTCAATCTAAATTCTGGATGGTTCTACAGTATGAGGAAGAAACCCAGAAAGAGAACAATAGGCTCTTCAAGTCTTTCCATCACTTCTTAAATCACCTCTGAGCTCTGTTCTAAAGATGACTGAGTTTCTACAGGAGACAGACTAACTCTGTAGAAGCACATTATCCTTTTCTGTCCACAAGCTACACATAGCTGTGCTTTGAGCTTTGCTGTGCTTACTTGACCTACTAATACTGGGACATTCTCCTCAGTATTTGGGTCTGGGGTGAAAAATCTGGTTTACTGACATAGGTGGGAAGACCTAGACAAAAGAATCTCACAGCAAGACAAAGTTGTCATAGAACAGGAAGAAAATTGTTCAGTTTTTGTAAGCTACGGGTATTGACTTTGTTGCATTTTAATTTCCTTCTAGCTTTTTTTTGGGGGGGGAAGCTGTTGTTTTTCTCTTTGCTTTGTGCCTAGCCTTCACTCTGATTTATTAGAAAGAGTTTCCTTTGGCTGCCGATGCCAGGGAGCAGCAGGAATGAGGCTGTTCCACAAGGGAAGAGGAGCCGGGAGCAGAGGGCAGCACAGGCAGGGCAGTGCCCTCACCGATCAGGGCACAGTCCCACAGCACTGAACAGGACCACAGTGACAATGGCAGGTTTCACTTCCAGCCCCAGAGAGAGCAGGATAATGAGTTAGACATCCAGAAAGTCCGTTTGGGAACAGCAGAAGATGGTGCTACCTATAGCACGTGCCTGAAGTCCATTCTGGAGACATGGCTACCCACAGCCTAAATGCAGAGTCAATCTGTGAAGCCCAGGCAGCAAGTCACTACAGGAGGGACATGACCTGCTACAACACAGCTGGAAAACACAGCTGGAGATCAGCCCTGAGCTTAACTGCAGCTCTTGGACCAGTGAGCAGAGGGTGCACGAGGAGGCACCCCAAGGGAGGGTGCTCTCTTGGAGTGGAGCTGGGGGGCATCCAAACAGCTGCAAAGAACAACACTCACGCTCTCCATTCCCCCAGTGAAAATTATACAGTTTTGCTGCAGGAGACTAGGAGTTGTTAGCTACTCCAATCCTGTGGAATTTCAATTGGATTTGATGTGAGCATCTAATTCACTCAGTCCAGGTTTCCTTCAGAAGTCTTTCAGTAGTAGGTGACAAAATCAATTGTCTGCCATAACTGTGTATGTTCTTTTACATAAGTAGAACAAGCATTTACTCCTTGCAAATTGCAGTGAAGCATCTGGAGACTTCTGATGCACATTGATTATCTGCAGATATCCAGAAGCTACTGCAGTTAGAATACATTGCATCAGGTTGATGATGAAATTTGAAAGAGAACTTGTTTCATGCATGTTTTGCTCTCTGAGGTTATACAAAACTGTTTCTCTGGTATTTTAAATAGTACAAAATAAAATTACATTTCAATAAATCTGAACTTAATCCTAAATGCAATACCAAATTTTTAAAATATGCAGTTCTGTAGCATTTAGACAAAAATGCTTCATCGTTTAGATAGCAATTAAATAAGACTAAAATTTAAATCATTATATGCTAGTTTTCATTGCATTGTAGTCTCAAAATTCTGTGATTTCCTATGCCAGAAACACATTAGTACACGCACCCTTCCCCCCATTTTTGTAAATCTAGCTACTTTTTCCAACACTTTAAAAGGTGGAACTTTACATACCTGTTACAAAGTAATTTTGAGCCATGAATGTCATCATCCAGATGAAAAACACTGCTGAGGTAACTCCAAAATTAGTTGCCATTGTCACCAACTTGAAAAATTCAGGAAATTAGAGAATTCAAGGTGGTTTGTCTTCTGTGCTAAGAAAATTAAGGTACTGGATACTGCCAGACCTCTGTTGAGATGACTTCTGGAAAGCAATTTCAGCTGTCACTGCACTGCTTCATAGAAAGAATGTCAGAGCAAATGCATTGACTGTCCCACTCAAAGGCGAGGTCACTCACCGGAAATCCCCAGCCACCCTCTACACTCCCTTTCATGTGGGGATTGCTGGAAAATTTAACTACTGCTGATTCAGAAAACAGGGCTGAGGAAGGGAGATAAGACTGGTAGGCTGCTAAGTCAGTAAACACTTTGAAAGAAATTTTTCTTTTGCTATTTTTTCCTTTTTTTACTGATTATCAGCTCATTATTCATGTTATCTATTCATCTGGTAAATAAATCAAGTCCCCTATTGTATCACAGCATGCCACGATGGATTTTTCTTTTGTTTATTGGAATTGGAAGGACATCCACTCCCCACTATCCCATATGTCTTGATGGAGTAGTTTTACTGGTTTTTTTCCCTTAGAGTTCCAATGCACAAAGAGTTACCATAACACAGAGGTAATTGAAACCCAGTTTTGAACAGATTTGGAGATCCACTACAGTAAATGAGATTCCATGTGAGACCGTAGGTATGGAGGTGGGAGCCAGTCCCACCACTGCTGCCTTTGTTAAGTTCCAACAAACAGTGATTTCCACAGATGGGTTCAAAACAGAGATGATCCTCACAGCTGTAACTTAGAAAACCTTCAGGGGGTCTTAGCAGAGAAATTATTTTTTTGATTCAGAGATTCCTTCAAACACAGGGCAGGGTTCCAGAGATGAACTAGTTCCTTTGCTGTCAGTCATATCAGCTGTATCTCTGTTATTCCTGACAGATGTTTGTTGAACCTGTTCTCAAAGACTTCCAGTGGCAGGTTCCTAACATTTCCTCAAACGCTCTATTTCAGTGCTTCGCTGTCCTTTACTGTTCACAGGTATTCCCTACTCTAAACTGACTTAGTCATACACTAATGTAAACCTATCACTTCTTTTCCTGCTGGCAATGAACGTGGAAAATAGGTTATTCCCTTATGTTTTGCAACTATCTTATGTATTTAAAGAGTTATGCCTCTGCTCCCACTTTTCTCTCAGCTAAGAAACCCCTGCTGGCTCGCTCTTTGTCTCCATATGAGGCCTTGCAAATGTCAAGCACTGATTAATAAATTGCTTTACCTGCTTACAGAGTTCAGAATGCTGTGAGCCATTTTTCTTTTTTTTTTTTTTTGCAACAGGATGGTTTTGTTACATCATGTTCAATTTGTGATTCAGGAAACCTTTTGATGCCCTATGTCCTCAGGCTGCTTTCAAAGTCCTGTCAACACAAATGTAACAGTAGCTACCTCCTTAAGCTGTGGTTTGTATTGTAGAAAGTTCCCACTTAATATATTAAGGCAATACTGGCTTTTAACTGGGCACAGGCCCAATCTCCTAGAGCAGCACATAACATGATTATGATATGATTTGGTATTCTGTAACACAGACAGGCACCTGCAGGGCCTAAGGAGAATGGGAGGATGCTGTGGGTTAGTGAAATAATGTCTCCATCAGCAATAATGAATTGAAAATTGGGTTGTGCTTGGGCTGTGGTTTGGAACTGAATGTTAGTAAAGCTCCTTGAGATCTTCAGACAAATTTCTTGCTCCAGTTTCTCTTCCCTCCTTTACTGTTCAGTACTAACCTGCCTCTACAAAGTGATGGCAATGTGAGATACTGTAATTAGACTTAATTCTCACTCGAAGCAGGTTGTAAGTGGATTCACTTGCATTTACAGTGTGGGAGGAGAAAAGCAGACTGTGGCTGTAAAACACTGAGAACATTAAACAAAATCTTACCATCTCCATGCTTAACTTGAACTGCAAAGTACTTCCTACCATGAAAACTAATCAAGAGCTGGGTTTCTGACATTTTAAAATTGCGTGCTAATTGTCCTGCCGAGTTTTAACACTTTGTGCCTACTATACTCACTGTGGCAAAGTTCCTTTAGTCAAACTCAGTCTATGCTCTTGATCTTTTGTAGGACTTTTAGTTGAAAAAATGAGATAAACACCTTTGCAAAACCAAACAAAAATATAAGCTGCATCACACAGTCTTGTAAGGGTAAAACACAGATTAGAGGAGGGAGAAAAGAATTTTAGAGTGATGAAATGAGACAGAAATAACTATTTTTTTGTCGGTTTCTTCCTTTTTCTATTTCAGCTGTTCTAAAACTGTGTGGAAGATCACTTATCTGGACTGTAACAGTACAAAAGGTCTTTAACCTTTTTCTGTGTCTTCATCATAATTAGTGCGGTGAAAAAAAGCGCAGACTTATACAGAATGATTAATTAGAGTTTGACCTAAATACTTGTAGCAACTTATAAGAAAAATTCCCAGCCTCTCATGCCAGCATGTTTTAAAATGCTGATGAGGGCTGCTAAACAGAAAACTTTTCATATGGGAGGACAGAAGTAACTGTTCTCTACAATCATTTCTAAAGGACCCTTGAAACCTGAACAGCAGGAGAGGAAACACGTTTATGGAGAAAATACAAATGTTGGGGTCTTTCCATGGTTACAGCGATTCCTTTCAAGGTTGTTGCTGTCCCACAGTTTTTCTCCCTGTCTCTGACTATCAGAGATTCAGAAGCTGAGCAGTGTCTCCTACCCACTGGACAGCTCTCCACAAAGTCCAGGCTCCCCCAACCTCCCAAGTCTATGAGGACACAAAGCAAATAAAGAATCCTAACCTTTCGCTCAGAATCCTTTGCTTACAGATTTCCCCTGTGGCTCTCCATGTTTGGCCTCCTCAGTGACAGGTGGCCTCTCTCTGAAGCAGGTGCTAAACTCCCTCCAGGATATCTCAGCTTCCTCTCTCATCTCGTTGCTATGGTGTGACCCTGCTCACAAACATTCTCTCTATTGACAGAGGAGTTTGCTTGCTTCTTCTACATAATTTTCCTGAAGAACTGGAAAACTAAGAACAAGATTCTTGATACATGTAACATGCTTCATGAGAACACAGCCAGCAATGTGCAGACAGAGCACAGGCAAACCCCAAATCCTTAAGGTAACAACATTGAGGACTTGAAACCATACTTTTATTTCAAAACTCAAGTATGTGATACTATACAGTACAATACCAGCACACTTGTGCAAAATCTTACAATATTACAAATTTAAATATGATACACAAAAATAGTGCCCTTTTGAAATTCCTTTTACTAGAAACATTTGTGCTGTGCAGGAAAAACAATAAATGTGTCTCGTTAAAGCAGAAAAATAAATATTGCACCTCAAGAAAACTATTTCAGTGTTAATAGCATAAATAATAGCTCTGTTTCTTGTTATCTGATGTGATCTTTGAACACAGAAGAGGTTGTTGGTTTTTTTTTCCAGATAAAGCAAACTAATATCCAACAAATAAAATGACATTAAGAATAGTTTTTGAGCTTAATCTAGATTCTTATTAACAAAGGTGTTTTTATTAACTAACTGAAAAATATAAGCAAAACTATTTACTGTGCTGTTAGTCATTGTGGTTTGTTATTTTTAGTGGACAGTTTGCTCAAAGTAGTTATAAAAAGAAGAATTTTTTTAAAAATAAACTTTATCTTCATTTTTGCACCCTCATTAAAATCTCTCGCCTCCTTCAGTAGATTCCCCAAAACAAGTAAAAACTTTGTGGCAAAATTACACTTGCCTTAGACATGCAAGTAGTTCAGTTCAAATCAGTACAACTACTCATGGGAATTGGCCCTGGTGCACTAATTCCACAAAAAGGCAGTGTGCTGAATTTCAAGGGAGCATGGAGACTTTGTTCACCCACTGATCAAAAAAGCTTTAGAACATGCTTAACATTAAGCAGTTTGAGAGTCCTGTTGATATCAATAAGTTTCTATGTGTACTTAAAATAAGCTGTTGGGCCCACATCAGTGCAGATGCAAATAAAAGTGAATTAATTCGATTATAGGCACTGATAATTATTTTTCTTCAATGCAGCCCACCACGTCCACAATCACATAATCAAATATGCTCCATAATTTCTGGCATAGGGAATTCTGAATATTCAGAACTATTTACCTTCAATTTTTAATGCCTTATTAAGCATGTTATTTGTAAAGAATATTAAGTTAAAGAAGCTGAATAAAGAAGTATTCAAAGAACAACTGACAAGTTTCTTCAAATACTGAAAGTATGTGAAATATCACAGTAGTTCTTCACAGTCAGATATTCTAACTGAACCAAACAGATTCCAAGTAATTTGCAAGAAACCTTCTTCTGTCTTATTCTTTACCAATTACAATTTTAGACCAAATGACACTTTCCCATTATCCTTTTTGAACTTCCTTAGGCACACTATTCCTCAATAATACAGATTTTAAAATACAAAACCTCCCTTCTAACTGCTTATAGACTCCCTCATTCCCCACCGCCCCTAAAAAAAAGTGGTTATGGTCTGCTTTTTTTAATTTTTCATTTCTTTCCCTTTTCTGTAAATGTCTCCTAAGAAACACGTGGCTAAAGATGTAACAAACAAAAATTCACTAGCAGGATATTCGTTACTAATGGCAGACATGTGAATTAAATTGCTGACTGAGTTAGGAACCTGTTTTCTTTGATAATTAGCTTGAGGTTCAGTGTTTACACCAAAAGAAAACAGGACAATATTATCTGTGTCTGAACTGAAATTACAGTACTTCATAACACACTTATCCTTCAGTTGGTGAACAGACCTGCTTCTCAGCCAGGAAATGGCAGAAGAATGCAAGATATGAGTGCAATCAAGTGTCACACTGATTTTGATATTGTGGCTATAGCTGAGGAAAGACACAATTCACCTTCAGTCAGAAGTGACTTTCAGCAGGTACATAAGGTACACCCTCAGTGACACACATTTTGGTCTCAGCCCTAGGTGGTGGGGTTTTTACAGATAATGGCTTCACCATTTTGGAATTGCTTACCCAAGAATTTCAGGCTTTCACATTCTTGTGTAAGAACTCGCAGCTCCCAGATAGGCAGAACTGCAAGAGATGAATCTCTCATGACCTGGCAGTTCAGCTTTGGAAGTGTATCAGATCATTTGGATACCTGGCATCAGGTTCTGAAAATGAACTACTAAAAACACACAGTGAGCTTTCTTAAGTCCTCACTGCTTCCCTGTCCTGATTCACGTAGGCACTGGTTGGGTTCTGGCTGTTGCAGAACTGTGTTCCTGCTGCAGACCTCAAAGAATATCTGTCTCCAGTATTAGTAGGAGGGCAGAGTCCACTAAGTGTGATCACCTGTATACAGAGGTTTGAAGAGTTTTTGTTTTCTTTGTTTCTTTTTTAATAAAGAATTCCCATGTCCAAGAGTGCTGTATTTTGGGCTTAGGCAGCTCGTCTAACCTTCCAAACAGCAACTACTTTTTGCTGTAACCAGTCCTGACTCTGAGTGTCATACAGAAATTTCTGCAAAGATGTCCCTTTGATATATCAGAAGTTCCCGGATTTATTTGATGATGTCACATGGACCCCATTTTAGGTTGAGTATTCCATTTTAAAAAAAGCGGCGGTGGTCCCATTCTTAAAGTATATCATAAAACACATTTAAGCATGTACTTAACATTCCATTTAAATAATCATACAGATAATTCATCTTAAAATTACTCTATCAGCAAGGCATTTGGTCTAATAATATAATCAGATTCTTCCATAGAAGAACTTCTATTTCTACCCAATAATCATGAATAAGGAAATTAATTAGACTCTTAAACCCCAAAGGACTTAAATGCAATTAGTACTTCAACAATCAACAATAAATTCAGGAAATGCCAAGTAAAGCACTAACTGCAAATGCAGGTTTTATGATTTTCTTCAAAACATCAGTGTCCTGTGCAAATCATTCTTTTAAACATTTTGCTGGTTGCTCATTACTGCCACAACCTTATCATGATTCCACAATACTTTATTTGTATCAGTCAGTTACAACAAGAGGACTGACAGGATTATTCATCAGATTTTCATCTTGGCACGATGTGTTCACCCTGCATCCCCAGACCTGGGGGTGTGGAGCAACTCACTTGTCTGACAGCTCACGTGTGACAGCCGTAGGGGTGACTAAGCACTACCTTTAACAACAGTGGGCTAATATGCAAACTTGCTCAGGTACCAGAAATACGTGGTTGTTCCTTTATTATTCAGTGCGTTGCTCATGTCGAAATCCTGAGTTCCACCAGGAATACTGGTGGGCAGCAGAGCAGCTGGCCTTCCCTTCAGCTCCCTCTGACTTCTCATCGCAGGAGTTGTAGGAATGGTAGATTCCCAACACCACAGCAAAAATGATGATTGCAGCCACTACAAGCCATACCACGTTCCAGTGTTTGCACAGTTTGGGGTACAGTATATATAAATAATTAATGATGACTTCAAGTCTGCTGTAAAATTAAAAGAAAGCTGTTATATATGCAAATTTATTATCTTAAGTTTTACAGTTTGAGAGGTTTCATAGATATATGGTGCACCATCTTTTTTTCCCAACAGAAACACGTTGTCAAAGAAGAAACAGACTGCGAAATTCTTCTAAGGAGAGCTGTACACTCAGATATTCCAACTCAAACTATTCCATTGATTCAAAGAAACCTTTGAACAGTCTGAAAAGCACTTTTATTACGGCCGGGGGATGCAAAGGGGCAGGTGTTTTTCCCCAGTGCACTCTGCTGAGCGAGGAAATACCATAGCTTTTTATACAGTTTGAAAGTAGCAAGCTTAAAATTATCTATACACACACTCTTTTTGCAGTCTGCCTTATTTAAATAGACACTTAGTTTTACCTCCTATTCTTACCATTATAGAGTAGTTACATAAAGTTTTATCATTTCAAACAGTTTCAGGTTCCCCACCCCTTTCTAATGTGCTAAAAAGCCTTCCCTATTCTCTAAGCTATTTTATCTTAATTGACCACAGTTTGGGCAGAAACTTTTAAGCAGTTTTACATTTTGCCAAATCACACTTACATAGCTAAATAGCTAAATTTTATTTCATTTTCTATTTCACTATGATATGATTTGAGTAATATTTGCAAGACTGTAAACTTCACTTCTATTTCTCCCACCTGTCTCAGAGCTTGATATGATGCAAAATCCTGCACTGTTCATACCTTGATCAACTAAATTAAACATTAGAACATGTCATAAACATTTCTTTCTGAGAGCATCATGACTAGCGAGATGGCTGCCCTCTGAACATGGCTGAAGCCTCAAATCTACAGCTGTTTATAACCACAATGCTTATGGAGTGGAAATGAATTCTTCCAGATCAAGTAAGGTTCCCTGCCTTAGCTTGGGATTGGACACACTACTTCCTTTGGCCAGCATTCCATTCGCCTCTAACTCAAAAGACTCGCTGCTTTTCGAACGCAGGAAGCAGCAGGTGTATTGGATTGGGTGGCAGAGCCACTGAGGAGACTCAGTAATGAACTGTAAGAAAAATGGAACATTTCAGGTGTGTTTTCCAGCTAGGCACCAAGTGCTTCAGGGAAGACATGGAGCAGGTGATTCAGAAGTCCCCAGTGCCGACAGAGAGCACTGGGTACAGAAGGGTGCAATGAGCGTGTCACTCCAGGGACAGGCAGGAACTCCAGCCTGGTGCTGTCCTGCTGCGCTCACTCAGCTCCCAGAGGCAGCCAGCACCTGCCTGTCCAGGTCAGAGCAAGCCCAACAGAGCTGAGGAGCTTGTCTTACTCTGCATTCAGCTTGTAGGTGACCCTTTGGGAATGACATACAGCACAAATTTGGGCATCAGATTCCTGAATTACAACCTCCATGAGACAATGCATGTCTACAGAGAGATACCTCTGGCATCTAAAGAACTTTTCTGGAATGTTTTTTTACCTCAAATCAG